CGGAGGAAGTTGGAGCTCGCTTCTTCCGGGCCAAGGTCCGCCGGAGTGGACAATTGCTAGTGGTATGGCTCGCCGCTGGGTCGATGCTAGAGGGGCTGTGGTTTGCCGCTGGATCCCGCCGGAGGTGAAGCACGCTTGAGGGCTCGCCGATCTGGGAGGATGCTCACCGACCCTGGTGGAGGGTACTGCCGGCGGCCCTGTCGCTTGCTCACTGCTCGCCGGAAAAATCCCCGCGGTCCGCGGCTCGCCGGCGGTCCAGACTCTAGCTCGCTGCCGCTGCCTATAGCTCGCCGAAGGAAGGAGGAGGCTCGTTGGACCTGGTTGTGGACCGACGGAAGGAGTGGCTCGTCGGTGGAGGACTGACGGAAGGAGGGGCTCGCCGGAGAGGACCGGGAGTGGCTCGCTAGAGTGTTGGATCGGCTCGCCTCAAGGAAGGGAGGCTTGCCAGTGGCTCGCCGGTGCTCGTGCTCGCCAAAGGCCTGTCAGTGCTTGTCGCCGGATCTGTGAAGAAGACCACTCCTCCCTTTCCTATTCTTTTCTCCTTCTCTGACTTTTCAATTTTTTTTTCTTCTTCTTGATTCTCACTTCGTATCCCTCCTCCTTTTTTTTTGTTTTTCTTTTACTTTCTCAATCCACTTTTTCCTCTATTACGGACTCCGAGCACAAAAGCTTTTGTGACGGGTCCCACGGATGGCGCCAGTGATGGAAACCGCTTTTTCAGGGCTTCGACCCGATGAAATCGGTACCGGGTCGGCACCGCACCGAATAGCGAAATTCGGAAATTAAGTAAATAAATAAAGCGGAGAGAAAATATTTATACGTGGAAACCAGAATCGGGAGAAAACCACGGGCCTTTTTTGGCGGTGCCATGCCAAAAGGGGAGGAACTTTTATTAATCTCAGGGGAGTTTTCATATATATCATTGTAGGAACTTGGAATCATTAATGGAGCTCCAAGCTAAAAGAAGAAGAAAAATGAAGAATATAGTAGTAGGAACTTGTAGGAATCTAGCCTTGGCCTCCCCCCTTCCGTCCCGCGTAGCCTTGTATTTAAAGGGGAGTACATGCATGCATCCCCAACAATGCCATGAGGTGGTCATGTCACCTCCATGTGCACATGTTTTCTATATGGGCTCCACGGAATATTTTTATATCACCTCAAATATATTCTTCTGTCCATATATCTCTAGTTCTGTCTTGAATAATTTATCTGATTTATATCTTGGGCCAGATGAAATTGGGCTTTCTTGCACTGTTCAAATAATATTGGATTAGGAAAAATCCCTAATCCATCAAGGCGTTATAAAATGGGACGGAGGGAGTCTTTTATAATATGTGTTTTTCATCTATCATTTTTAATTTTAAAATATTATGTACCATCGTGATCCTCAATTTTTTTGAAACTTATTCCATAATTAGTCATTTGGGAACATATTTAGGGAAAATTATGTGGTCATATATGGCCTGAAAGAGTAAAAGACTAAGAAATCACCTCATATTTAGCCTAAAACTCTTATTTTGATAGTTTTTTTAATATTCTACTCCTATTATGATATTTTTCGAAAAAAACGTGTTATGGAAGAAATTGAGAATAATGGATGTAGTACCTAAGAATTGGAGACCAAAAATGAAAAACCACCTATTCTTAGGGACCATTTATGAAACGTCTTCTTGTTTATATGTGCTTGTTATTAAGGGTGTAGTCTAGTCCCTTGGCCACTGGCTAACGGAGTCGCTAGCGGTGTCATTACCTTTTTGGAATACCTACGATGTTGCGTTTGTAAAATCTATGGTTCATACTCCTAACCTCACTGAACCCCCGCCCCTGTACTCCCACCCCAACTGCCCCTTCCAAATGTGTGGTCATTAGGCTATTTCCAAATGTGCAGTCACAAGGCAATAGCCTAATGACTACACATTTGGAGGAGGGCAGGAGGTTACGGTGAGAGTGAAGCGACAGGGTTGTGACGGGGACTTTTGGAGGATTAAAGAGTTGGAACTATCAATTTTATAAATAGAGCACCGTAGGCGCTCCAGAAAAAAAACAATGGCACTGCAAATGGCCTCGTAAGACAGTGGCTACGAAACCGTGGCGTATTATTAGCGATATATAACAAACCATGTATTGACAGCACTCGAGGGTGAGACTACCAAGTAAAGGACAAATCTCAGCAAGTGTTCCAACACATGACTGCAAAATGTATGTCCTTAGTCCGATGCCACCGTCGACCCGGAGGGATCGAAGTGCTGCAAAACGTTCAAATGTGTAATGTTTATAGATAAAATAATTCTGTAACAAAATTGGTGCATTTCTATACAAAAAATGTTTAAACTATTAATGTCTGCAACTTGTATTAAATATATTACTCATTATCCCCTCCCAGATTTAGTTGTGCTATTTTTCATATATTCAATCAAGAAATTTGTGATGAATTGGCTAAAATATGTCAAAGATAGGTTTTGGGCATTCTTGACACGAATGAGTAACAAATTAGAGTAAATTACCATCGAAATACCAATATAGGAGCGCATTATTTTTATCCCTAATTAGGAGTTTATTTGTGCAAATGATGGCAACGTAATAATAATATAGCGATGTAAATAGCAGCAGTGTGAAGGCGGAGTGTGGTGGTGGACCCACCTTGTCAACCAACCCCACAGTGGAGCTCCGGTGGCATTTGCCGTATGGGAGTTGTAATGAGAACTCATATTTAGGTCACAAAAAGAATGTCATTCCTATTTTGGTATTTTCATTATCGTTTACTCCTACTTAGGTACTTCGCCCAAAATCATTTGAAGTGGGCAACTTATTTTTTTAAAAATGAGACTTTTATAAAGTGGACAACTAATTCCGAACAAAGGGAATGCACAATGATCTATTATGTATGGATCAACATTCCCAATCAGAGTCTCACTTAGCTGAAGCAATCAATAATGGCAGAGCATCATCAGATATGCAGAGCTCCTGCCATTATTGCATTTACATGTATAATAACAAGATATGTGTGTATAACTGTATATATGTATATACTCTACTTCCAAACAAACCTCAGAATTCCATGGGTTTTCGCTGCGTGTTTTTAGCGCCAATGATCATCCATTCATCACTGTTGTTGCCCTCTCATCTTTTCGACGATGTTTCTTCCCTTCTCTTCAATGTGTCGCCTCTTCTCTTCAAACTTCTCAGACATCTTCTTGCTCAAACCTATCATCCTCGCTTTCGTGCTTCCCAGTCTCTTTGTTTTCACGCCATCGTCTTCTTCACAAACATGGTTCTGTCCCACCTCCTCTTCCACCACCATGCCTTTGTTCTGACGAAGACTCGCTGCTTGCTCTTCGCAACTCAATAATGGGACGCGCAGTTCTTTCTCTGGAGGAGGAGGAGCAGCTAGTGATGGGGAATGTGCATTGAGGGCACTGTTTGCTTTTTGCAAAGATGGCTCGATGTTTTGGTGGGGTCCTTCATCTGGACCACTGCTGCTGGCAGCTTCGGGAGTGGCCGCGTCAGCATTCTCGGTGCTTTGCGGTTCTTGATTAATCCATATGAAAGGCGCTGACTTACGTGGGACCCAGTTCTCCTTTTCAGCTAACATCCATGGCAGGCATACACTCTCGCAGTTTGGAAGAACCAGTGTCTCACGAATGGCTGCCTGCATCAGTGTCAAGCATTATATGATTATTACATTCATTCAACCAATAAAAAACAGAGGCTTCAAAGAGAGCCATCCATCTGCCAAGAGCTAGCCACGGATCATACGCAAGAAGACTATAACCTTGAATTTATGGAGAAGAGAACAAAATAATGTGAACCATTGGATTCCTTTGTTCAAAGGATGAGAAGTTTATTTTGGAGAAACCAAAAAGAAAAGTGGGCCACTGGGTACTTATACCGGTGCTTTTGAAATGTACGTACATATAGAGACTGAACCTCTTATAATCATGGATAAGGCACGCTTTTCATGAAAATAGATATGATGTGGTTTTATATTCAAAATTGTCCCTCAAATGGGCCCACAGTGCCGAAAATTCTTTTTATAAGAAAGGCGTGAAGGGTGAACTGCGAAGTGTGAACTGAAAAAAGTAAATAGTTAGAGAGTTGGACATCATTTTGGAGAAGACCAGAAAGTAAGGACTACTGGAAACGAAACATAAATTGGAAATTTTGGGTATCAGACAAGTGATATACCTTAAGCCGACTAATTAAGAATAAAGCTAAACGTCCACTTGCTATCCTGTGCTCTCCAACAAAAGGCTCCAATTGAAAATCAAGGTCTGGCATAGAAGTGAAGCCAAACCATATTTGATCTGAAGGTGGTGGCCTTATGAATATGCGCATCAATCCTCGGAGAGACGCAACTCTTATTCCCAATGTAAGTGGAACCTTCAACATTGAACATCCAAAAGCGAGATATTTAAAGATTAAGTATCCATTGACATGCAATGTTTAAGTTTATTATTCAAAAAATCACGATGAAAATAGGCTTAAGTTTCTTTCAAACAGGCTTGCACCTGATCTACTGACATTCAGATTTTGAAAAATGAAGTATCCACTGAAATGCAATGTTTATGTTAATTTTTAAAACAAACATGATGAAAATAGGCTCAAGTTTCTATGTTACTCATTCCCATTACTTGGTTTTTTTATAATCTGAATTCATTTTCAATGCATGCTTATGGTTATGTGAAGGTCTGATTGAGTTAACACTGAGGACACCACTAACCTTACCACTGTATTGCAAGAGTTCTTCATAATTTAAAACTGCTACACAAACGAACTAATTATCAAGCTTGACTGCTTGAGTAACTCACAAGGCAGTTGGACACAAATCAGTGTTTACAAATTACAACTATTGCAGCTCATCCTCTCCATTATCCACTTATTAGTGATTTCATAGATTAGAGCCCAAAAAAAGAATTAAAAAATAACCAAAATCCAAAACAAACCCCCACTTTGACCAACTAATTGTGTATTGATTACCTACTTTTGATCATAGTTCTTGTTGGAGTTCCCACATCGGGAAATAAAGATGAGTATCACTAGTATATATAGAACGGTGAAGCCCTACCTATCAGCTTAAGCTTTTGGGTTAGAATTGTGGATCCCGACTTTATATGCAAGTGGTTAATTTTACCCGACACTCTATCCGTTGTTATCGGCCTGCCGGAATTTTAACATGGTATCAGAGCAGGTCCGGTCCGGGTTTGATTGTTCCTGGTTGTTTGGATGTGGATTTAGCAAAAATGAGCTACCCCGTCTGTGGTTTGGGCTGAGTTGGCTAAAAAGAGATTGAGATGCCACCGCCCGTTGTGTGGGCTAGCTATAAGAGATTGAGATGCTAGACCCGTTTGTCCAAGTGCTAACTAGGCCAGGCTAGTTACCACTTGCGGGGGAGTGTTGGAGTTCCCACATCGGGAAATAAAGATGAGTATCACTAGTATATATAGAACGGTGAAGCCCTACCTATCAGCTTAAGCTTTTGGGTTAGAATTGTGGATCCCGAATTTATATGCAAGTGGTTAATTTTACCCGACACTCTATCCGTTGTTATCGGCCCGCCGGAATTTTAACATTCTCAATAGTCAAGATCACTAGTTCTGGTGTAACTTTGAGGATTTTGAGCAATTATACCTAAAACTAGTTCCTTCTTCAGACAATGAGGGATTCTTGTGCTCACTCAAAATTTACAAGGCTGTGACAAATTGACAGCATAATGAATTAGCTGGATTATTTAAACCTCCATTAGTCTCTCTGGAAGACCATTAGAACGATTAATGTTATTTCAAGCTCATACAAACCGCCTAAACAAGTAATCATTGAAACAAAAAAAAACAAACAACAACCCAGTTGAATCCCACTACAGTAGGGTCTGGGGAGGGTGTGTGTACGCAGACCTTGCCCCTACTCGGAAGTAGGGAGGCTGTTTCCAAGAGACCCCCGGCTCAACCTGCACAAAAATATGGTAGGGAACACAATATAACAGGGTAACAGGATATAACAGGATATAACACGATATAACAGGATAAAGCACCAAGTACAATGAAATGAAAGTCCAGCAAGCAAAAGTAGAAGATTCCAATCAAACACAACACACTACAAAAACCTCTGCAGCACCGCGCTCCTAACCAGCTACTTTAATCCTAGTCCGCCAAAGGTTCCTATCTAAAGCCATATCCTCAGTCACGGTGAGAAGTCCTAAATCCTGCCTAATCACTTCCTTCCAATTCTTCCTAGGTCTACCCCTTCCTCTACTTCCCCCGATAACCGTGATCCTCTCGCACCTCCGTACAGGGGCATCAACATCCCGACGTCTCACATGCCCAAACCATCTCAACCTCGTTTCCCGCAACTTATCTTCCACCGGCGCCATGCCTACCTGACGTCGAATAACTTCATTCGAAATCCTATCCAACCTTGTCTTCCCACACATCCATCGTAACATCCGCATCTCCGCCGCATGCAGACGACGCACATGAGTCTTCTTAACCGCCCAACATTTTGCCCCGTATAACATAGCAGGTCTGACTACGGATCGGTAGAACTTACCTTTCATCCTGGGTGAAATCTTCGGGTCACACAACACCCCTGAGGCCAACCGCCATTTGGCCCAAGCCACTCCAACACGATGTCCAACATCTCCGTCTAACTCTCCATCCGCCTGGATTACCGAGCCAAGATATCGGAACCTGTCTACCTTAGATACTACGTGAGAGTCAATCCTAACTTCCACTTCTGATTCTGTTTCCCGGCCGCTGAAACGACATTCCATGTATTCAGTCTTGTTCCTACTTATTCTGAATCCTTTAGTCTCAAGGGCAAGGCGCCATCGTTCCAACTTATCGTTTAGTCCCTCACGTGTGTCGTCGATAAGCACGATATCATCCGCGAAAAGCTACACCATGGGACCCCTTTTTGAACACCTTGAGTTAGGACGTCCATCACCAAGGCGAACAAAAAAGGGCTAAGGGCAGACCCCTGGTGCAACCCCATCCCTACTGAAAATGACTCAGAGTTGCCCCCGGAGGTCCTTACCCTAGTCATAGCCCCATCGTACATATCCTTGATCGCGCGAGTGTACGCGATGGGAACTCTTCTCGTCTCTAGGCACCTCCATAAGACCTCCCTTGGCACCCTATCATACGCCTTCTCAAGATCAATAAACACCATATGAAGGTCTTTTTCCTAGCCCTATACTCTTCCATTAACCTCCTCACGAGGTGAATGGCCTCTGTAGTCGATCTGCCAGGCATGAAACCAAACTGGTTCTCAGAGATGCATACCCCTTTTCGCACCCTAAACTCAATGACTCGCTCCCAAACCTTCATGGTGTGGCTAAGGAGTTTGATGCCTCTGTAATTCTCGCAGCTCTGAATGTCACCTTTACCTTTAAACAAGGGGACCAAGAGACTCTCCCTCCACTCATCAGGCATCCTTGCTGTCCGAAAGATAACATTGAAGAGTTTGGTTAACCAAACCCACGCACCACGGCCCGCATGTTTCCAAAACTCCACCGAAATCTCATATGGTCCCAAAGCTCTCCCACTACGCATCCCTCGGAGAGCCTGAACCACCTCTCCCAGGCAAATGCGTCGACAATACACCCGAGACGCCCCGGACTGCCCCAGCTCATCAAGAACTAGCCTCTGGTCTCCTCCCGCATTTAAGAGTTCACAAAAGTACTCCCCCCAGCGCTTAGCCACTTTGGCAGTCTCAACTAACACTCTACCATCGCTCCCCTTCACACATCTCACGTGGTCCAAATCTCGGGCCTTCCTCTCACGCACCTTAGCAAGCCGGAACAGTGTATTAACACCGCCTTTCTCCTCAATATCCTTGTAGAGGCGTTCAAAAGCGGCATTCTTTGCCCTCGTAACCTCTAACTTGGCTTCTTTACGTGCCTTCTTGTACTCCACTCGTAACGCCGTTCTTTCTTCCTCAACATTGCAGCCCATGTACCTCAAATATGCCACCTTCTTAGCTTCCACCTTACTTCGGACTGAATCGCTCCACCACCAATCACCCTGACGCCTACTCCCAGAGCCAGAGCTCACACCTAACACTTCTTAGCAGTCCGCGTCCACATATCTGTAGCCTCTCCGTCTGATTCCCACGCACCTTTCTCCTGCACTCGCCTGATCAACTCAGAGATATTTTCCCCACTTAGTCTCCTCCACCGGATTTGTGTGTTGCCACTCGAAGCTCTCCTATGTTTCACCCATCTAATCCTGACATCCATCACCAGAAGCTTGTGTTGGGTAGTGAGGTTTTCACTCGGGACTACTTTAGCATCCTTGCAGAGCACCCGATCACACCTGCGCAGGAGAAGATAGTCGATCTGAGTCGTCCCCACTCCACTAACAAATGTAGCCAAATGAACGTCTCGTTTTGGGAAACAAGAGTTAGCAACCACCATATCACTTGCTCTGGCAAACTCCAAGAGTGAAACTCCCGCTGGGTTCCTGCTGCCATAGCCAAAACCACCGTGCACGTCCTCGAAGCCCTCAGCCGAGTCTCCAATATGGCCATTGAAGTCGCCTCCAATGATGACTTTCTCAGTCAGTGGAAAGCCAACAACCACCCCATCCAAGGCGTCCCAAAACTCCCTCTTAACTTCGTCTGCCAAGCCAACATGCGGGGCGTAAGCACTCACGACATTGATCG